AATCGGGAGAGGGCCACCCACCCAGGCAGAGGGACAGCAGCGAGGTATCAGGCGGAGGCTGTCTGCGCAGGGCCGCGCACGCCACAGCCGCAGCGAGAGGCAGAGGTTCATTCGCCGACGGCCGCTTTGCAGCGCCGTCACCCGCTGTGGGTGCGCGCGAATTTGGTATTGGAGAAACCCACATTAGCTCTCTGTCGCAGCTCACATTGAATGGAAGGTCATCTTCGCTGCTGCTGACTCTTTGCATGGCCTTTGGCCAAAGGTATCATCTCGCGTCCAGAATGTGGCCGTTTGTCCGACAGTGGACTACATATTCAGAGTTCGGGAGCTTTTATCTGCATCCGACGGGCGTGTGGGGCACATCTGTTTGGGAAAATACATATTGTATTTTGTAGCCCCATGTTTGTTAATCCACTTGTCGTTTGGGATTGAGGAAAGATGTATCCTTGCCTGCCTTTAGAACCAAGCTGAAAAAAAAACATTTACAAAGGTTGTTCACCAAATCCTACCTCTTTTGCTTTTGTTCTAAGTGAAATAGAATTGTTACCCACGTTCCGATTTTTTCTGGTTTTCTTTTGTTTGTTTCTAATATATATGCACATATATATCCTCTCACTTTAAAACTCGGTTGTGTTCATTTGATATGCCCTGATTTCAGTGGGTTTTACAAATCAATTCTCTCTTCTCTTTTAAAGCACATCAATGCTTTATAATGTAATACAGAACTGCACATATTGCGACCTGTTTTGTAATTTTGCTCAAAACTCTTATGCTGATGTTGGCATTATTTAGCAAAATTATTGCCAATGAATGCGTGTAATTATAATCCTGCAAACTACGAGTACAAAAACTGTCGCTGCTCATTGTGGTAACAGTTGTACGATGCACAAACAAGCAACACCAGGCGTTTGAGTCATGGGTTGGCAGAAAGGTGATTTCTTGCAATTTTCAATCCCTGACTAAAAATAGAAGTTTGGTCGGTATTTTGTTGTTGTTGCTCAATACGTGTATCTTTGTGCCAACGTATGAACTTAGTTGCAATGTCTGGCCTTGTGGGTTTTGCACGCGTTAACATACAAAGGTAGAAATCACTGCGTCGACAGTAGCACGGATACATTGTGTGTTCTTTACGATACACTTTGGAGATACGTGTAATTGTACAGGCAGTTTTACCTTGTGATTATTTGATGGTAGGACCAGCAGTCGTCTCTGACCTGCATTGCGCTCACGGTCCCCACACAATCGTGAGCAGTCATTGGTGAGATAAATGCGAGGTGTTCCAATTTAGGGGGGGGGTGTCAATGTTTGTCCTAATCTATAGTATGGAATAAACTTGTCAAAACAAATGTATTGATTACATATGTTTTATGTTTTTTTTTCTTGGTCAAAACACGTGATTTGTTTAAGTTTCCAATATCCTTTCATATGAATAACACAATTGAGGCTTCTTACTAAAGTCATTATTCGTTCGCCATGTTTTATCGTCATATATGTCGGGGATAGGAGTACAATTCACAACACAACTTCATTTAATATAGAGCTTTTCATGCAGAGAACATCTTCGAGCGCTTAACAACAGAGCTCAAAAAGCCTTTGGCTATCAATCCAACTCAAGAATAGGCTAAGTTGAAGCGGTATATGTTTATATATTTGATGTCAAAGATTCAGTTTGGGCAAAATTGCTGATGTGACTTGGAATAAAGTTGCAGGGAGCATGACAGCTTAGTGCCCATGCCCCACCTGAATTGAGGTCACTTCGTAGGAGCCACTAAAATTTCAGCCTTTGCTGATCTTAATGTGCGACTGGGAGCATAATGGATGGATTTACGTTGAACTTCTTTCGCACCGTACGTAGCCAACCGTGCTAATCGAAGATGCAGGGGAATGGCAACAAACTGAACACAAGAAATTCGTTTTCAATCTGGATTTAAAAGTGCATAGCTCTATTGGCTTCCTAATATCAGAAGGAAGAGCATTCCAGATGGTCGCAGAAAGCACACGATGCAGTGACCGTGTTTGTTTGATGGCGAGCCAAAAGCTGGTGCGAGGATGACCGGAATGTGTCAGCAGTTCCTCTCATATAAGGGTCCGGAGACCATAAAAGGCATTATAAACAGTCAGAAGAATGTTGAAATAAATCCCAAATTTAACAGGAAACCATTATTGCGGTAATTTAAGAACTGGGATTACATGTCGTGAACGATGCGTGTACATTATTTTTATTGTGTAGCTACAGAATATACAGAAACGTGGTGTGGGTGTACCTGTTCGCCGGGTCTTCACATTGGCATTTCGTTGAGGTGGCGTGTGCATTTAAACATCCGCTGCTGCTCTACTTTATGATTTTACTTGTGTTATCCATAAATCCTCCTGGACGAATGAGTGTTCAGCAATTGTTGGCTTAAAATTTTCTCAATTGCATCTTTAGGCAAATATGTGCATTACCTTTGTTTGCATGAATACCATTGTTTCCTATATCTTTATAATATGCAGTTCCCTGCCTGGTGTGCCTTCCATGTGCAGTCTATATGGCTAACCCCGATATAAAATCAAGTCGCATTGTGTCGCCTTAAAGGCACTAGCCCTCGCATTCAATCACCGAGAGCGAGAGTAAAACCCTGCAATCTGGGCTGTGATTGTGTCTGTGGATTGTGAGTCCTCAAAGTGGCAGCGTTTAGATAATATGCGGCATTGTATTTCATAGGTCAGACACACTGAACACACTTTTAAAAGTCAGAGACGTCATATTCAAGCTAGCGTGGATTGGTGCTCATTTACTGTTTATAACCCTGAGTCAGCTGTGGAAATTCCACATTGCTATGACTGGGGTGTGTATTTACATAATGATAACTGCACATGACGACCGACTCAGTGGTACTGATGTCATGATCCCAGAGTGATGATGTGCTGATTTGACTTTCGACCTTAATCCGAGTACAGTCACAGGACCATGTAACATTTAGTATTATACTATTTTATTTATTTGTATTTTACCAGGTAAGGCCCACTGAGCTATACAGCATGGGGAGAACACGCAAACTACAAACATACAGGCGTCAGGGTCGGGATCGAACCCACGCCCTCCTGTATACCAGGCGAAGTAGTTAACATCTCACCACCATGGTGCCCTATAACAATCAGGAAACATGTGTTAAATATGTCAGGCTTAATTCTATAGTATAGACTAAAGTTTTTTAACTGTGAAAACAACACCTACGTCATCGGTGTGCTTGAAAGTAATCGTTGTATTATATTCTTCTTTGAGTTGTAAAAATGTAGACGCTGGCATCATTCTGTCGCCTGATGAAGCTAGTTGTAATTACTGGCGAAACGTCGTACTCAGATTGTAAATGCTGTCCCTTGCCTCTCCAACACATCGGTGTGCTGTACTAGTGACGAATTGGCATGTTATGTTTACGTGATAACCCTTACTAGTTGGCTGTGTCGGGTGGTGGCGGGTTTAACGACACATTTATATAATTACGTGATCTAAATTGTTATTATGGTAAATATAAAATAAAAAAAATGTGGGGAGTAGAATGGTGGAGCAGTGATGAACTCACTGCGCCATGAATCTACCAACCTGAGATCGGAGAGGGCTTCATCCTGCACTGGATTGATTGTGATGATGATGATGACAATGGCCTTGTTTTATTGCAGTAATATTTCGATGGGCCACTGCCTTTTTACAGCAAATAAGTTCGAAGGCCCCATGGACCTGTTGAGCTGTATTGAATAGGGTCACCCATACCAGTCAGGCACTCAACGACAGATGTGACAAGATCTGCTACCTTCATCAATCCGCACTGACCAGGGCGGTGAAGCATATGACACCAAAAAAAACGAATAAGATATTATTTCATTATCTCATACAGAGCACGTTTAACCATTGTGTGTGTGTGTAACAAACATCAATGTCAGTGGTATCGCTATCGAGTGCGCAAGCAGTGCATCTGCACCAGGCTGCACGGTCCGGAGAAGTTCTAGTGGCGGGCTGTTAAGAAGGGGGGAGATTTGACATGGGGCCTATTTCATTGCATCGCACCAGGGCACGTGCCAATCATTCTAAGCTCCTAGAATTGTGTGCTCCGCGGGTTTTGTAAAACGCTCCGACGATATACATGTGCACGTTTATGCCGCACTTCATGACGCGAACTAGCCGTGGAGTTGATGGAACGCAATTGCATTAAGCACTTATTTATTCCTCTGAAGATACATTTACACTCGAGTTGTGTTATGACACTGCTTACTGGTCTCCGTTGCAAATTTTTTTTTTTTAACAAAAGTTTGTTAATTCAGTCCACCAGTTCTGCAAGTATATCTTATTGATATGGTTCTGACCGTGATAATTTTGGCTCTGGCCTATATTTTCAACAACTTTTGGAATACTGTGACCCCGCTGATATTTCCTGAAAGTATAACTCGGGTCTAAGTGTGACTCTTCTTGTTAAGTTCTGCCTCCGTAGTAAATAAGTTCCATCTCTATACTGCTCAGGTGCGCGCTTCCACAGCAGGATGTGGGCTCCCAAAAGTACAGGTGTGACGGTGGTGCAACGCGACCAGGTATCCAAAGAGCATATAAGGACCGCCCTGTTATGAATCCAAAAAAATGAAACTCCGAAACCAGGTTCGAGATTGCGAGTCCTCAAAACGCGACGTTCCTGTAACCATGGTGCTAAATGGTGCGTTAATCAAAAGTAATTACGAGGCAAATTACATCTGCATTCACTTCGGAATTACGGACGAGTGCACACGCAGTTTAGTCATCACAATTTGACGCCGAGCAACGCGCCTTTTGTCCCCGCTGTAGGGAGCGCAATTTGGGTGAGGATTGGTGTGGGGGGGGGGGGACAAAAATTGAACGAGGGGATGGTGGGAGGGAGCTGGGGGTGGGTTGTGGATGGTGAAGGTTAAGGGAAGGGAGGGTGCAATTTTCCGCCTAAATCGCCAAACGGAAAATTGCGCGGTATTCATATTTGGGTGGATGTGCACGTATTGAGTATATATTGGGCGACCCGGCTGGTTGCCTCGTGCAGTTTTGTGGCGGTGGTGTTGTTTGCACAGGGAGAGAGCGAGTGCGCTATGGGTAGGACTGGCTCTTGGGCTAGAGCACAGAAAAGTTAACAACAAGTTATAGAGGCTCGCTCAAGTCTGCAGATCTCGCGAAAAACAGTCTCGACGTCTTTCTATCTTCACTACCCAGTACATTTTCAAGGTACCAACGTTACAGTGTTACAAATGTTTTTTTTTATTCTTGTGTTTTTAATGTGTATGCTTATACGAATGTGTTTGGGAAGCTGCATTTGTTGTAAGAATAGTCTACATTTATCACTTACATTTTTTATAGAAATTACATTATATTTACTTTAAATTCATGCACTAAGTTTAAAACATAAAACACTAACTACTATATATATTAGATGTTTTAAACTTTAACTTTGGCACTTTCCAAAATATTACATCTCCTTATTTCTTTAAGATGTTAATGCTGCGATATGCGATTATGATAGAAAATGTCAGCAAAACGCAACCCTCTCGTTTGGAACTAAATGTGTTGAAAACGGATTGCATGATATATGTGCCGATGCTCCAAACCCATATCAGAGATATGTATTTGAAATGTCTTCACATTGTAATTGTATTTGTCAGAGTATGATAAAAAAAAGAATATTTTTTTCCGTAAATTCCATAATGTGTATGGTAACAGGTGAGATGCTACGCTCTACCGGACAAATCACCTAAAATAGCTATTAAACTCACTTTTTATTTTATTTTAACAGTTAAGGCCCACTGAGCTATATAACTCTTTTTCAGAAGCGACGTGGTCACATGATACCTCATTGAAGTGGCTGATCATATGTAAATGTACAGCGGCCAAATAATCTAAACGTATGTTTCTAAATGTGGAAGGAAAACCCTGAGGACCCGGAGAAAACCCATACAACCACGGGGAGAACAAGCAAACTTCAAATATACAGGCGTCAGGGTCGAAATCGAACCCACGACCTCCTGTATACCAGGCGAGGTAGTTAACATCTCACCACCTTGGCGCCTATGAGCCATTTAGGGATGTCTCATAATTCAGGTACACTGCCTGAAAAGACTAAAATAAAATGCGGACTGCCTGAAAATTCAAGACATCTGCATTATATTTTCAGTGGTCAAATTTACCAAGATTATTCATTTTTGTTATTACCAGGCAAGGGTGTGCATAGCATTAACGGTTACAGGTGCATGAGATTGGCTATGAAAACAATCCTTGTTTCTGGACTATAAAACTATTCTAATATGCGTGTATTAACATATGAAGGCAGTTCATACAATTTGTTCAAGTGGATTTACCGTTGTGTATAATTTTGAATGCCAATTTTCATTTGTAACCATTTGCCAGAAAGTTATGCATTTGCATTAACGGTACAGTTCAGTGGCTACGATATATTGGCTGCAATAATGTTGTATTGCATCTCATCGTAACGTCATTGACTACAGAGTTTGCAATTTAGTAGGATGGCAGGGTGGCGCAGTAATAGGTAACACTTGTGTCTTGTAGCAAGAAGGACCTGGGTTCGATTCCTGACTCGGGCATGATTCTGTGTGGATGTTTGTATGTTCTCCTTTTTCTTCTTGATTCTTTCGGTAAAGTCACGTAGAATGGAAATAATACAATAATAAAAATAAAACATAATAAAATAATAGTGAGAATTATTTTATTATGTTTTTTTTTTAATTTCCATTCTACGCGACTTTACTGAAAAAACCAAGAAGATGAATCCTTGCAGTCACGAAAGCTTTAAATCGAAATTTTCTCCTTCTGTTTTGCATGGGTTTCCTCTGGGTTGTCCAGTTTCCTCCCATAGCTAAAAATGCTTACAATGTAAATAGCATTGGTCAAACACCACAATGCAGAAAAAGGTGCCTGAAAATTACTTGCTTTGGGTTGCACATAGCAGAAGCATCACCCGTAGTGCGAAAACTTGGCAGAAACCTCTTGAAAAGAGGATTGAGACTCTGTGAGGCTTCCTTGGGTAAATTAAGGGCGTTATTAATATTCTGGTAGTGAGTTATCAGTTTTTTTTTTTTAATGAACATTACAGTAATAACATGAGATGAATACTATAGGTTACATAACAACGTTTAGAAATGAATTGCTCACAATTTCATCCACTAAATTGTGGCATTCGCATACTAATTTCAAATGTACGTTAAATAAAGACGACAATCTGTTTACATTTCATGAATTCCCAGGTGTATTGTTAGAATTTGGATGTCTGCTGTTTAATCAACATATACAACTTGTTTGCAGATGCAGTGCAGTCCGAGACTATTAATTTGCCTCGCTCTCCTGCTGTTGGCGGCAATCGCGGAATCTCACGGAATGGTTCTGACGGTAAATTGAGAACCCTCGTTCTCCACACTACACAGAGACGCAGATACAAGGTCGCACTAGTACACGTAGCGAAAAAGCTGGCTTTGGATCGCTTCGACCACTGCTTCTCTCCATACGTGCAGAAACATTTTGAAGTCTGACACTTGAGATCAGCATTGCTAATGGCTATGTGTCATAATCGCTGATTGGCAGCGGTTGAAGTGGGCTGGTATACGACGGTACACCCTACCGCCACTGCTCAGAACACCAAACGTATAATGCCACTTTCACAACGTTTCATATTCCTATGCTGTGGTGTTTCTGCAGGATAAATAGGTTTTATACTGGGATATACACATTTCCATTTCGAACGCTGCTGATTCTCACCCCTGGTTTGCTAACAGCGCTTGCTGACAATGCTTGTGCCAAATGTCCATAAACATAGCCTTGCAAGGAATATGAATGGACAGTTTTAGCAAATGTTTCACCTGCTCTCTCTGTCACTTTTGAAGTTGTACATGTTTTTTTCCCATCAGGAAAAGGAGAAAAGAGGATGGACACTGAACAGTGCAGGATATCTGCTGGGTCCCAGTGAGTAGCATACGTTCGTTCAACCGACGAGTTCTCCTTTTTAAAAAGATTAAGAAATGTAACAAATTAAGTAGAAGTCATGCATACATATGTACGTATGTTTAACTTCTTTCGCACTGTACGTAGCCAATTGTGCTAATTGTAGTTGCGGTTTACACCTTAATCACCAATTAACACAGTGTCCTCAACAGCCAACGACAAGCAAGCTAGATGATCGTGGGTCATTATCACCATCCATATTTTACAAATGTGACAATACATACAGGGGCTGAATATTACTGAAAGAGTGAAATCGCAGACGTTACAATCTCGCGCACATTTCAATGTTTCGAGTTCATATCGTTAAGAGGAGGATCCTCTGCTCCAACGGCACGTGAGGATGCCATGTTAATGCCACCATGAGATACGTTTTCTTCCCGTGATGGTGCACAGCCTAAGCACGGCACTATCCTTGTGATGAGATGGAACACAAAGCATGCGTGTATCTGCAGCAGCTATGGATCAGCATCGAACTCTCAACGGTTTGGCTGGCAAGCGTGCGGCCTTTGAGGAAACCTTCAATACATTCGGTAAACGCGCATCAATCACAGCTGCATCAAATAAATTTGCAAGTGCGATTTTGCTTTTTGAGTCAATGTCAAATAAACAAACTAAATATTCACGGAAGCTGGTTCGTAAGTGCGGGTGTTCGTAAGTCGGGTGTTTTGCACGTCGAGGACTGCCTGCAGAGAAAGATGGCACAAGAGGCCAGGTCCATTCATTGGGCACTAACGGTATGTTTCTATATCTATAGGAAATCGGACCCAAGGCGAGCTGGGAGATTCCATGTATGGCCAGCACGGCTCCATGGGCTCGAGCCCCGCCCCTCAGTCCCACTCACCCATTCGCTTCCCTCCGTGGTCGTCGGAGGGAACTGATCTTTACCTTGTTTGGTCTTTAATATCAACATATTACTACAATCGGGCCGTGTAACTATTTGACTTGCCCCTTCTTGGTTCTTTCGGTAAAGTCACGTAGAAGGGAAGTAATAAAATAATAAAAATAAAACATAATAAAATAATTCTCACGACGTTTCGGCCACAACGCAAGCAGCCGTCCTCAGGTGATTATTATTTTATTACTTCCCTTCTACGTGACTTTACCGAAAGAACCAAGAAGATGAATCCCTGCAGTCACGAAAGCTTTAAATCGAAATATTTGACTTGCGTCACAATTAACCGATCCGGTCCTCTATATTGTGCTCTGATATGTCCTTGATAATATGGAGTTAATTTAGAAAGTACGAAAATAATCTCGGCAAGGTTGTCACAAGGCAAGAACCAAATATTGAAATGATTGAGTTTTGTGCAGTCATTGGCGATTGGGCTGAGACTGTGACATGTCCTAGATTCGTGAATTCGCTTCTCAGCAATTGAGGTATCGCTCGCACGCCACTGATGTGAGCCGTGGCCGGGAATCTGACTCGGATCCCTTTGTGGATTGCGCAGTGTGTTAACCACTGCACCATCAATCCACTCAATGGAGAGTGGATTTATGGTGCTGAATACAGCCATGGAAATACCAACAATTGTTTGTTAGAGCCCACTGGTGTGCATATGTAAGCCTGCAGACTGCTTATTAAATAAAAAAGTACAATTTTTTGCAACACTTGAATGGCCATCAGATGATAGTTTTACCATTATTGGTGTTCGTTAGAGGAGTAAATTATATTTGCTTACATTTTTGCAATGTTTTATAAATCAAACTTTGCAATTACAATATTCGTATAACTTTTTTTATATATATAACTTTCGCAAAAAATGTGGGCATGGTTATATGGCTGTAGACGTTGTATAGCACCACTAATCATCACTCGTGACTGCTGCTTCGTGTGATTTGTATTTATGGATTACGTTTTATTGCGTCAATGCACTGGATACATTTTATCTGCAATCACTTAAAAAGTGTTTTATCAATACATCGCGTAATAATAATTAAAGTAAACATTTCATATAGGTGTTTTTTTTTGCCACAAGCCATTGAACTGCCCATAAGGTAATAATAATAAGAAGAATGTATTGCCTTCTTGTCAATCCACTGCCGAATAAAGCCCTTCCCACGCCACATCTGTCGTGGGCCTGTTTGACCACACTTCGCCGTGCTGCGCAGTGCAGGCTGCTGAAGCAGTCGGGGCCCCAGGACCAGTTCAGATGTCACTTTCCACTTGACCTTAGGCATGGCCAGGAAACTAACTCGGCCCGCTTGGTTCAGAGCACGTTGTAATGACCACTTCACCGCTCTTCCAACGCTTACATTTCAACCCCATGTGGATTCATACAGTAATAATGTTTTGAAATAATAAAAGATAATAACTTGCTGAAAACTGCCACAGAATAAGTCACGCATGTATTATATTTGCAAATCAAGATAAAGGTGCATCCCTGCAATTGCTTGGTCACGTCACACTTTAACCGACAACATGCGAACAACCGTTACGAACCCATTTACACTGCTGCGTCGACAGAGGCGCGAGGGGATTTAATAAATGTGCGCACAACTGATTCGACTGCACGAGCCCGGAGAACGAATCGGCGACTCCTGGATCGCAAGTCCAGTGCGCAAAACCATTGCACCGCTGTGGCAGCGTTGTTGCATGCAGGTATGGTTGGTAATATTTGCCTGTGTGCCCCTGGCAGGACAAAAGCCATTGCGGGTGTCAACAGAAGATGTGCTGCGTGCCATCATCGACTACCTTAATTACATGCACATGAAAGGTAAGTGCAATCCATGCTCACCTTTCAGCTATGGCTTTTTATCTTTAATTAAAGCCTTGTGTCACCAATGTAATTTTTCCCAATAGAATGTTCTGTTCGTGTCTGCTTTGGCTGCCATTCGAATTTTGTATCATCCCCGATTGTGATGCTTAGCAAATGCCTACATTACTTTACACGAATGCTAAATGTGAAAGTTTATAAGCCCGTTCAAACAAATGTACCACCCCAGCGTTGAGCGTGTATTTGTAAATGGTCAGAAACGTATCTGGTGGTTTTGCGATGGCTTAGAGGTCAGAGTGCTGGTCCGGCACTGCTGAGATCCTGGGCTTGAATCCGGGTTTCAGCCACCCACGATTAAACCGGGTTCTCGAGTTGAGCCAGGCGATGGCCTCAGCCTGTTTACCAATAACCTTCTTCCTGCTTTGTGAATGTAAAATGTTGGTTTGAATGTTATGTTGCAAATAACATCATAGTAGAGTCTGTGTGAAAGTAAAACCTCATTTTAACATAGTGGTTTTTGCGACCAATACTATGGCTCGTAATTTGTGTGTGGGTCACATCGCGTAAGTATGAAGCCAAAGGTTGCCATATAATCCTAACACAGCCAAACAAATGACGTTATCACACGAACACACATGCCAATTGATATGGTTGTCAACATATCCATATTTTGAAAAGCAATTCACACAAAGATGTACCAATTAGATACGGTACAACGTTTCGCCCGAGATATCTCCCAGCATCATCAGATAACCACCAACCTACTCGGGGAGTGAGTGTGTGTCTCCTGGCGCAGGCCTGAGGTGTTTTGACTTCATTGGCCCAGCCAACCAGTTGCTTGTGAAGTGTAAAAAAGATATATGATGGATTTTTTAGGCAAAGTCTTGTGAATAATTTTCCAAAGCCATTCCCTGACACATGTGACATGCACTGCTCTTAAGATTTTAAAATGAACTGTGCATCCCATGATGATGCCAAATGGTGTAATTGGAATATATTGGGGGGAAAATACCGAAACTTTTATTCATATCCAGTCTAAAGAACGATTCTGATCCTGTTGAATGCAGTCAGGGATGTAAGATACATTAAGGGGGGTCACTCACTCACATGTATTAAATTATTGTGCTTGTCAGTTATTCCCAAACTACTACAGTGCTGACAGCCACCTTGTGAGCACACCCCTCTGTCAGTAACCTGGCCCAGAAGTCGAAGTTGATGCAACGGTTGCATATTCAATACATGCAGGTGACCTGGTCCACACAGGGTCACGTGTAAATGGCAATGTGACGATAGTTACAACTTCAGCACTTTCAAAGTGACCAAAAATGCACAGGCGTTTTCCCCCACCCCTCCCCCATGTCCGCCACTGCTTGGATCATTCGAGTGTTGTTGTTGCTGTTGTTGTTGTTGTCCGTCTACATTCTTTAGAAGCAAGAGGACTGAGCACGATGCCAGAAGACTTCTTCGAAGATCTCCCGCGGCAGCCCTGATCCCAAAACGCCGCCTGTGTTCGTCCCATCTAAGCACCGAGTGTATAATAAGCTAAGACTTATATATGGTTCCAGCGTATTAATAAGTGTCTCATTACCCTAGCTGCCGTTTGTGCTCTCAAAAAAAATGCATACTTCTTACCATTCGTCTGTGTGTCGTGTACCAGATGTATTCAGTCGGACGCTGGTGTCTGTGTCGCTGAGCACGATATTGTTACGCTTAGCTCGCCACGATCCCGTGTAAGAATGCACGTCCAAGTAAACATGTAGTTGTGGAGTTTAACCGCGGTGCTGTCAGTCGTGATTTATTGTGTCACTTGCGTTGCGTTTGTGGTCGGTTACCCTGTAAGAACCGGTGCATTCTGAAGTGCCGAGGTGGTGAGATGTTAACTACCTCGCCCGGTATGCAGGAGGTCGTGGGTTCAATCCTCAACCCTGACACCTGCGGTATATTTGGAGTTTTAATGTTCTCCCCGTGGTCGTGTGGATTTTTCCGGCTCCTCCGGTTTTTCTCTCCACATTTATAAACATACGTTTTAGAGTATTTGCTGATATACATTTCCACGTGATAAGCCACTTCGTTGAGCTATCATTTGTGGCCAGGTCGCTTCTGAAAAAGAGCGGCATAGCTCAGTGGGCTTTTCCTGGTAAAATAAGAAAAAAAATGATTTTAATTTAGTCTTAAGTGGGCAGTTGAAATGTGTTGAAGTGAGAGATATACACACGCACACACACTCACGGTTACTGCTGCCACAGTGGTGCCATGGTCAGCACACCGGACTTGCAATCCAGGTGCCGCCGGCTCGTTCTCCCGGCGCGGCAGTTGATACAATGGTCAAGTTTATTACATCGCCCTCCCCCCGCCCGTTACCTCTGCCCGCCCAGCAGCATGAATGGGTACCCCGCAGTTCGTTGTGTTTGGCCGGGGTAAATCGTGGGTGCTCCTCTTCCTGCGAGACGTCTGATCGGTGGTGAAGAAAAGGCCAAACACCCTCCCGTGGGGCTCTAGAGGAGGCCCTTCCTGCAGCAGTGGCCTGAGCAAGCAATTTCAGAGCTGTACCTTTTGCCTCCTCACCGTGCACGTACATATTGGCTAGGTACGGTGCGAAAGAAGTTCAACAAACATATTAGCCTAGATTTGAAGCTTTCGTGACTGCAAGGATTCATACTCTTAGTTCTTTCGGTAAAGTCACGTAGGTAAAAAATGAAATTAAAATGAATAAAAATAAAACAATAAAATCACGACGTTTCGGAGGCAACACAAGGAGACTTGTGTTGCCTCCGAAACGTCGTGAAATAAAACAATAAAAGCACGACGTTTCGGAGGCACACAAGTCTCCTTGTGTTGCCTCTGAAACGTGATTTTATTGTTTAATTTTTATTAATCCTAATTTTATTTTTTACCTACGTGACTTTACCGAAAGAACTAAGAGTATACATATTAGCCATCGAACAAACGCCTGCAATGCACCCGATCTGGTCAGATCTGGGAAGCTAATGAAGATTTTGAGGCCGAGTCATGTTTGGACGTGTGCCTGTCATGTGTAACAGTGTTCTAGGTGGAGGGGCTATGTTGTGAGCAGCACGGGGCGGCAGTGCAGCAGCATCCGTCGTTGTACCGTTCCTGAACGTTCCTTACGTCTATGGTCCCAGTGATGTTCAGTGTGGTGAAGTATGGTCTAATAATCCCACCACTCACATGGCATGGGAGGAGGCCCTCATCCAGGAGTAGATTGACAGGTTTGTGCGTGTATTCCCATCAGGCTTTTGTTCAGCATAGTCGCTCCCAACATGAATATGCTGTAATATACTGTATCATTGGTATTTGGAGGAGCTTAAAAATTAGTTTAACATTTAAAAATTAGTTGAGAAAATACACACTTTTCAAAATTATTTGGATGTTTCCACCTACAAGCAAAGCATCTGGTAAATGTGTTCCATTCACCCTAGCTGACTTTTAACAAATGTATATAGTGAGTTTGGAATGTATATAGAATGCACATTCGCCGAGGTCAGGACTGCATTAAAGAGAGGTCTTGAATTGTAGTTCCTACGATTATCTGTGGCCTTCAGTCGTGTGAAAAAGCCATTGTCGCCTTTGAAATGTAAGCACGGTTGAACGAACCTCAAGTTCTGCTGGGCAACATCCACGACACATCTGTGTGAGCACAGAGATAAGTGACCCTGGCAACTCCATGGATTGATCGTTGAGCCAAAGGAGAAATTATATATATTTATATATATATTTATATATTAAACAGAGTGTTTATATAAATATATATGCACACGTTTACTAATTAATGGTAGTAATGTGATGATCACACTACATGAGCAAAGAACAGAATCGGAATTTGTATTTACACTGGAGGAATCTGATGATCTATGAAGCTCTTTTCACAGATGTCCAGTAACAGCTGATGGTTGAATGATCTGAGGGTAAAGAAAAAACTATGTGTTGCGTCGTGAGAGGCGACAGTTGTCAAAGTTTGGGAATGATAATTATTTTCTTTGAAAGATATATTTTCGGTATATTCATTCTTTGTTACTCAATGAGCAAAATGCGTCATTGTTAATGCCAATATTGTTCACGCAGTGTCGGTAAGAGTTACACAAATATCGGTCTGTATTGCACATTGATCTGAGCTTGAGATTTCACATTTCAATCAGGTGTGCAGCATATAGCTCTGAAACTAAGGAAATGAGATGAAGTCTTGAGCCAATACTATTTACCGGGAATTAATGTACAAGGAGACGATGTTAAAGGACACATTTCACCAAAATAATTAAGTATTAAAATGTGCAGATATTGATTCACGTAGAAAGTTGATTTCAAAATAATATACAAAAATATGAATTTGAAATGTTTACTTTTGATATTGCCACTTGCCCTATGGCGCATTTTTAATCTGTATACATATGACTTGCAAGGATGTGTTGGTTACTTGTCTGCTAAATGACTACGGTTCATATCTCAATTCAAGTCTCCTTTCTTTAATCCGGTGTTCTTCAGCCTCCACGATGTAAACGTTTGTCTTCAACAATAATGTGGTCACTATGTCTGCCTTCTCTCTTGGCTTTGCAGACAAAAAACGTTGCCTCAAATGATTTGGCCTCCAATATATTCTTCTTTGTCAAGCATTTTTTTCCCGGCTAGGCAACACAGTAGTCGAGTATGTTGCTTACAATTGTGATGAGTGTGAGTTCAAATCCCTGTGGTGTGGTCAACTCTGGGGTGCATACAGCCAGAACTACTCTGTGGGCGAGTCAACAGTGGTTCACATGGACATACTCCTAGATTTGAAGTTTTTGTGACTGCAAAGATCCATACTCTTAGGTTTTTTCGGTAAAGTCACGTAGTTAAAAAATGTAACAAATAAATAATATCTGAGTAATTTTGCTGGAGCAGTCAACACCTGATGACGATTGCTTATGTTGCTTCCGAAACGTCGTGATTTCATTTATTTGTTTTCTTTTTTACCTACGTGACTTTACCGAAAAAAAACAAAGAATATGGACATACTCGTCCCCACCATAGGAATGTGGAATTAAAAACTGGTTCTGGACTGTATACGGTAGATGACTACCATCCTCCGCTTAACTGAGCGAGAAACCGTTTTGACTTTAACTTTTTTTTAAAGTGATATTAGTATAATGAATACGTATGTGTGTGCGCGCACGCGCGCGAGCACTCTGGGCAAATCCACTGAAATGTCAACTTGAACTTTACAACAAACAGAACACGGCACATCGAGTCCCACCGAGCGTGGCACGGTAGCCCCACGCGAGACATATTTATTACTGAGATTGTACCGCAAGTAGTCTGCATCGCACACGGTGCTGACACATTTAGAGCAGTGGGACCTCGTGCGGACAGACAGCTTCGCGACACGTGCATGCAGTCGCTTTGGTGCGTTGGCCTACGGGTTACAGTGACAACACGCTACACAACATCTACATTCGCACGCCGTATTGGCACAAACCGAGCGATTTAAGCGTCGAGTTTTAAACCTCTTTTACCACTTTTTTTTACCACTTACAGATCTTCAACGGTGATCACGCTGTTTTACAAACATTTAGAAGAAAATATCATTTTTGATTTTTTTTTACACCTTGAAATGGATTATGCAGAAACACAAGTTAAAACTCAACGACCTACCACGCAAATTGGCAGGTGTCGCACAGCTGTTAACTGCGAGGACAATGGAAAATGTGAACCGATTGCAATGGACGATATCTACATGGAGTATTTATCTTCTTGGTTCTTTCGGTAAAGTCGCGTAGAAGGGAAGTAATAAAATAATAAAAATATTATTATTTTATTTTATTACTTCCCTTCTACGTGACTTTACCGAAAGAACCAAGAAGATGAATCCCTGCAGTCACGAAAGCTTTAAATCAAAATGGAGTATTTACACGCGCGTATGCCCATGAGATATTCCTTTGGAGCATCTACCGGTGTATACTAGGAGGATTTTGCTTTGCATTCTTATTTTGTCACATTAGTCATCATACAAGCATGTCCATACTTATCAGATTATTCCGTACAACCAACGTAGCCAATGTGAATCTAATAAAACAGTTTGGTATGAATGCATTCGAATGGTAGGGTGTTGACTGTTATGTTATCCGACTCTGTTGTATTACATTACATTTCTAAGTATACTAGATTTGTGTTTCTATTTAATATATACCTGATGATGATTGCTTGTGTTGCAATCGAAACGTCGTATGCTACTATTTAATTTATTATTTTCTATTTATACGTGACTTTACCGAAAGAACCAAAGAGTAATGCATTCGATTCTCAACCTTTTTTCTTGATACTCCGAGCTTCAGCTCTCAAATTATAAGTTTCCCCAAACACTCGTTGATTTTATTGTTAATCATTACAATAGTTTTTTTCCAGGAAAGCCTCACTATCAGCTCAAAACTATAGACAGTGTTTGCAAATGTTTTTTTTTAAACCTAACTTACATATCAACATACATACATATTAACTTCAGCCAGAAGAGACCATAATATTGTTCCAGGAATTATTTTGCCACTCCACTTTCTTATCATTGCTTGTCCTCATTATGCTTATACAACTTTCCATAAAATGCTAAGAATATAGGGGACAAAAGTGCAGGATTATGATGAATATACCTACTTTATACTCTAGTGGTTCCAGAAAACATCGAGTGAGGTTTTTTTGTACGTTATTGGTAATTTTATTTTTAATAATGACAATTATTTTCAAAGGAAACCATGACACTCGGTTCGATAACGATTTCAGGAGGACCT